AGTGTGGATATTTTTCACGGGTTAAAAAGAATGGCGATGTGTGGTTTATATCTATTTTCACCAGATAATGCAGCTTAGAAAAATAATCGATTTTTATATATCAATCAACCTCATTTATTATTGATAACAAGCAATTGTCAAATTATCTAACGGGCATTGTGCTAGGCATGCGTGGCGTGTAACACCCGATACCATAAGCACCGATTCCAAAACATCATATCACCTAATACCAGCCACTGATAACCAGACACGTGATACCGATACCACAACACCCAAAAACTGATACCAAACGACCCAATCACCGATACCAAAATACCCAAACCCGATACGAAATAACTCAATCACCTAACGCCGATACCACAACACCCAAAAACCGATACCAAACAACCCAATCACTCAAACCCAATACCAAACAACCGAACCGCTTAATACCGATACCACAACACCCAAAAACCGATACCAAACAACCCAATAACGTAACGCCGATACCAAAATACCCAGTAACCTGACGCCGATACCAAACAACCCAAGCACTTGATACAAAACCTACCAAACAACCAATCCCTAATGCCGATACCACAACCCAAAACCGATACAAAACAACCCAATCACCCACCGATACCACAACACCAAACCCTGATAACGGAACACCCCCCCCCAAAAAAAACACCTGTCGATACCTGATACCGAGTGAAATTTCGGTCAGTGTCACCCACCGCAAGTCCGGCGGAAGTAGCGGTGTGTGGGCGGGCGTGGGCGGTGGGGAGGGGGCGGAAGGAAGGAGTACTCGGGTCCTTCGGGAGAGTCCTAGAGTGTGGAGTCCCTTCGAGGGTGAGGCTTCGAGGGTGAAAGTCCGCCTCGGGGAAAGTCGCGGGGAGGGGGGGGGGGGTCTTCGTGGGGTTTGTCGCTTCGGTTCAGAATCGGGTCATTTAGGGGGTGGTGGTGGGGGGGTATATCTTGTTTGTTTTTTCGTTTGTTTGTTTGTTTTGTTTATTCGATTGTAGTTTGCTTGTTTTGTTTTGTTTATTCGGTTGTAGTTTGCTTGTTTGTTTTTTTGTTTTTCTTTTTTTTCAGTTGGTTATTTTTTATTTTTTCACTTTTTTTTTGGGGGGGGGGATCGTCTCTTTTTCTTTACTTGTTTCCTTTTTTTTTTTTTTTTTTTTTACTTTATTCCAGTTTTCTTCTTCGGTCACTATTCTTTTGCTACCTTTTTTTTCTCTTTTGTCTATTTTTCTCATTCTTTATCTTGTACGTTTCTTACTTTTCTATCTTTTATTTCTCTCTTTTCGGCATCTTTCCTATGTTCCTGTACTTTCTTATTATTATTCTCATTAATCTTCTCATTCTCCATTCCTTCCCTTCTCTTTCTCCTTCTGCTTCCCTCGCTCTTTCTCTTCCCCTTCTCCTTCTTATTCTCCTTTTTTCCTTTCTCTTTCTCTTCTCTTTCTTTCTCCTTCTTTTTTTCCTTTTCTTCTCCTTCTTCCTTCCTCCTTTTCTTCTTCCTTCTCTTTCTTCCCCCTCTCTTTTCTTTCTTCTTCTTCTTTTTTCCTCCTTTTTTTTCTTCGCCTTCTTTCTTCTCCCCTTCTCCTACTTATACTCCTTCTCCTTCTCTTTCTCTTTCTCTTTCATTCTTCTTCTCCTTTCTCCCTACTCATTCTTTTCTCCTTCTCTCCTTTTCTCTTCTCATTCTTCGTCTTCTTCTCTTTCTCCTTTTTCTTCTTCTCATTCTTCGTATTCTTCTCTTTATCATTCTCCTTTTTCTCTCTCATTATTCTTCTCCCCCTTCACTACTTCTCCTTCTCATCTCTTTCTCTTTCTCATTCTCCCCCTTCTTCTTCTCCCCTTCTCATTCTCTTCCTTTCTCATTCTCATTCTCATTTCCCTACTCCTTCTCCTTCTCTTTCTCTTCTCCTTCTCATTCTTCTTCTCATGCTCCTTCCCCTTATCATTCTCATTCTCATTTTCATTCTCATTCTCATTCTTCTTCTTAAGTACACTCTCTTCCGCCCTCCTCATACCTCCTCTTCCAGTCTGTCTGTACGTTAACTCAGCAGTCACTTAGAGTCACTTCAGGAGAATGATTAAGTGGTTTTGGTTATAATGAAGACGGAATGAGCGCGTCACTTTTTCCACTTTTCTTTCTTTCGCTCTTTTATTTTTATTTTTTTTTCACTGTCTTTTATTTCTATGTGTGTTTGTGTAGGCATATGTTTATATACATGTATATATATAAAGGTGTGTGTGTGTATATATATATATATATATATATATATATATATATATATATATTGTGTGTGTGTGTGTGTGTGTTGTGTGTGTGTGTGTGTGTGTGTGTGTGTGTGTGTGTGTGTGTGTGTGTGTGTGTGTGTCTATATCTATATCTATATCTATATATGTATGTATGTATGTATGTATATATATACATATATATACATATATATAATATATATATATATTATATATATATATATAATATATGTAATATATATATATATATATATATATATATATATATATATATATATATATATATATATATATATATATGCATGTGTATGTAAGTTTGTATGTATAGATAAATAGATAGATAGACTGATATGTAGGGAAATAGATAATCAGATACATGCATACATCTTCAAACGGCCTGCATACATACATTCCCTCAGACAGAAAATCAAAGTCACACACCTTGACTCTCCACTTCCGCCCCCCATTCCAAGGGACCACCCCCTCCCTTCCCTCCCCACTTCCTTTCCCCCCTTCCCTCCTTCTCCCCACCCCCCCCCAGAGACCCACCTCCCTTCCTCCATCTCTTCCCTTCCCCCCTTCCTCCTTCTCCCCCCACCTACCCCAGAGACCCCCCCCCCTTCCTCCCCCCATTCCCTTCCCCCACTTCCCTCCCCCCTCCCCCCTCCCTTCCATCCGGCGACCAGCTGATCGGCACTGCTCGGATGCCAGACCTTCCCCCAGCTGTCCGTATTTAAGAGGCTTCCTGTTGTCTCTTCCTCACACTTGCTTCCTCGGCCTCTCGGTGTGCGCTCGTGTTTCCCAAACCTCCGTGAGATACTTCGGCGAATCTTCGACATGGCTCTTAGAGGTAAGGGCTGCCGTGGGGGGGAGGGGGGGATTAGGGATTCGTGTGATTGGCAGGTTTGAAGGGGAAAGTTTGTGTGCGAATTGAAGGATTTTTTGGGTCAGGTGTTGATGTTATAGATAATATATGGGTATTATCTATATACCTATTGTGTGTGTGTGGGTGTTTGTGTGTGTGTGTGTGTGTGTGTAGGATATGTATGCGACCAACAAACACTCATTCCATCTGCTACGAAAGTTGAATATGCAAATAGAATACAGAAACACTGTATAACCCGACTTATATTAATTATTTTACTTTGAGAACATCATAGTAATATATATATATATATATATATATATATATTATATATATATATATATATATATATATATATATATATATATATATATATATATATATATATATATATATATATATATATATATATATATAAATGTACGTTTATGTGTATATATATTTGTGTGTGTGTGTGTGTGTGCGTGGTATAAAAAAAACATAGGGAATATCAACAGTCATACATAACGATAATTCATAATAATCATAGTAACAGTAATATTTTATTAATGATACTAGTATACCCATCGTGTACACACATGAAAATAGTAATGCCTATGCAGTATAAGCTCAGATCAATAACAATACCTCTAACGCAGATTCACAGTAAAAAAATAAAATAAAATAAGACCCACAGGACACAGAAAAAAAATACCCACAGGACACAGATTCCCAATTTGAAAAAAAAATACAATACCCACAGGACACATATTCCCAATTAAAAAATAAAATACCCACAGGACCCTCAATAACACACCCTCCTCTCTCACCCTCAGGAATGACCGCCTTCCTGATCTTCGCCTCCGTGGCTGCCACCCTCGCCCACGCAGCTGAGAACGCCCACGCAGCTGAGAACGCCCACGCAGCTGAATTCAGGGAGGGACACGAGACCCCCCGCTTCTTCTTCCCTTCTACAGGCACCATCAACAACAACAGCAGCGTCGCCTTTGACCCTAATAGCGTTTTCTACATCGGTGCCATTGCCCTTGGGATCTTCGGGGTAATCGCCCTTATCGGATTCTTCTCGGAGGAGGCGAAGGAGGATACGAGCTATATTGCCCCCACGTAAGAGAGAGAAGGATTTGTGCATGTTCTTGTTGTTCCTTTGTTTTGTTGTTGTTTTGTTGGTTCTTTTGTTTATTTGAGTTGGTTAGGTGTTGTTTGTTAAGTTCTTTATCATTATTTTGAGTAATTGTAGAGTAATGATCTTCCTTGTGATACATAATAGGGATTATGTACTTTTTTATTATTATTATTATTTTAATTGAGTAATCCTAAGTATTTCGTAAGTTAATTCTTTAAAAAAAACTAATATTCAAAATAATACCAAAACCAACATCAAAACAAAATTAATGATACACCATAACCAAAGATCAAGAAAACAAAAATCTCAGAATACCAATACCGACGGAATAACAATACCAACACAGGAGATACCAATTGGCCTACATTCCTTGAACAAAAACCAGGACAAATTCCTCCCTACTTACCCTAATCCCTCCCCAACAGCCTGTACAATGCCCCAACCTCACCCTACGGCCATGAGGAGAGCTCGTACACATCCTACGCCGTCCACCGCTCCTTAGAAGATGCCGCTGATAAGTACGAGTAGTCGGGGAGAAAGTATGAATGAGTCGGTTTTATGAATGAATGGATCGGCGTGGCGAGCGTCTTGGCGAGTTCGAAGGCTTGAGTTCGTTTGATTTGTTTTCTTTCTTGTTCTTTTTCTTTTTTTCTTTTTTTCTTGTTTTCTTCTGATGATTGTCTCTTTTTTTTTTGTTTTTGTTTGTTTTTGTCTGTCTGTCTGTGTTTGTCTCTTTCTTTCTGTGTTGTCTGTTCTCTCTCTATT